GTGAAGCAAGACTGATGCCTTGCAAATGACAATTTAATGACTTAGTTTTGATTATAAACCATTCACATTTCTTAGATTTTACAGTTAGTGAAACTGACATGTAAGACACATATGGCACATATTCAACAAATGAAATTGAGTAGAATGTTACATATTTAGACCCATTCCCAGATGCAAAAAACAAAACTGAGAGAAAGCTCAAGCAGCAAGCATAAACAATGTAGTAAAACTGAGATTGTGTACTTGGAATCAAATTTATAAGCCATTCACATTTTTTAGAGTTTAAAACAATCAATCTAAAATTGATCACATCACATCTTAGCATCAAAATGTTGGCAGCCAGGAAACTGAATATATGCATCTGAAATGATATGTAATATTTAGCCAGGAAATTGAATATATGCTTAGTAATGATGCTATGTAGCTAGGAAACTGATTATTTAGCCAGGAAACTGAATATATAACCCTTTATAAAAGAACAATTACAGAGCATAAACATTCTCTAACTTTCAGACAAATTAAACCATTACATACCATTAACCATCTGAAATATTTCATAAATCTATCAAGCAAAGAGGAGAACCAAGGAGATCAATTTCAAAGAAGAAGAGGTCAGACTATGCAACTAAAATACTAAAATTTTGAGATCGAACTAAATTTCAACAACAATCAACATAATCTCAGTAAGCTTTTAATAAGAGCAGAAAACAACAATCAACAAACTAGTCTCATATGAACATAATCGCTTGTATGGTAAATATTTGGAAATCAATTCGATATTGCAAAATCAACATACCTCTCTGGATTTTTGCCTCCTGTCACTTGAGATCCCAATCGGCTGCAAATTCCTCTCTTGTTTCCCCTAGAAAATTCCTATTAATAGCTGGGGACAAGAAGGGGGAAGAAATTTTAGAGGGAAAAAATGGAGGGAAAGAAGTAGAGGGAATTGATTTTGGGGAAGAACTGCATTGATTCGAATCAAACCGTATACCTGAAAAAGATCGCGGGCTTCCCTAATTTTCGCTGCCAAATTGCAAAATTCCACCGCCTACCTAATTTCCATTGCCAACATCAGATTTCCATCGCCTACCCTTGTGTGAGAAGGAGGGTTAAGCCTTGTTCCGCCTATCTGAGAGGAATTGTTAACCCTCGGAATCACGGGTTAAATGGGTTTTTGGGGTCACGTGAGGGTTAACTAACTCTTGGGGGTTTTTTGGTGTTTGGCAGGTTAATGGAGGGTTAAACCCTCTTAACCCTTCATTTATCCCATTGCCAAACACAGCCTATTAAGGATTTTGGTGTCAGTGTCAATTGTGTCCTTCTTGTTAATTATGCATTTAATTCATACCAAAAGGTTCATATTACTGGAACGTACAAATTACGGGATATTAAGATGTGAAATTGTCATAATTTCCAGTATGACCAAATTGTGGATCATGCATGACTGTAGGGGTGCATTTGGTCTGGATACGTCTTGTAAGGATACTTACCATATCCACATCCGTTTTCCTATAATGAGTACGGATACAGTTATGAATATTCCTTAATAAGAAAAATTTGTACTCATATCCGCTAAAATCGGATACGAATACAGATATACATATGGATATATAAGTCGCTATGCATGCTGATAAAAAACGGCTATGAGAAAGCCAGATAATATTGAAAAAAACTATAGCTCATGCGACGTAAAAGAGTTTATTAATTTGTTGTTATATCAAAAAAGTTAAGATTGGACATCTTGATCATCAAAATTAAACTCAAATCCATAGTTTAAGGATTAAAACTATTGTCACAGTATGACCAATATATATTCGGATATTTTGAATATGAATCCGGATATTTCACTACAAAACTATATCCGTAACAATATCTAATCAGTTATAGATTTGAGTAACCATATCCGTATTCTATTAATGGATATGGTTATGAATACGGTTTAGCACCCCTATGCGTGAGTCACGTGTGAAAGTTGCATACATTTTCAGTGTCATCAAACATGTCCATAGTTTTCGATTTGCCTTAAAAAAGACTTTGAAGTCATTTAATTGAGAGACTAATATAGTAATGTTATGTAAAACGTGGTTATGAATAATAGATAACAGCCAAGATAATGCACAATAAACTGGCCCACAATCATATACGAGAGGGAAATCATATCACGTTGAGGTGTAATGTGGTTTATCCAAGTCACCCACATAATTTTAGTCAAGAATCAAACTAAAAGCGTAGAGCTCCTCACAAATCACTCTGATACAGCAAATCAATACTTATTGTCTTCACATACCAAAATATTCATTTTACTACGATGTTTTTCTCAGAACTTGACATGTACCTGTTAATTGAAATGACAGTATGAGATGTTCGGATGCATCAATTTTTTGAAGAACAGAGAAGTTTAATAGATTGACTAATCAATCAACTAAATAAATCATCCAAAAAAAAAAGGGGATAGTAGGAGACAGATATCAGGGTTCTAGATATTCCAATAATGACTTGAGAAGTTCACGAATTAAAGTGGCAAATGTGCCTTGCCTTAAACAGTTACCTCATTGTTTTTTTAGCAAAAATGAATCTTGTCGACTGAATAATTGTTTTTATAAGATGAACAATGTTGCAGTTTTGTGCCGCATCTTTATAGTTAAATGCCACCAGTTTAGACTGTTTAGTTCATTAACTAGACATGTATGAATGATTGAGCATTTGACCTTAGTAGAGTATACGGAGCATAGTTTCTAAATATGTTAGCCGAAACATATGACTGTGTACATTGCATAACTTGTATTTACATGCACCTGTCCCAGGACTCATATGTTTACATAACTTCTTTGAAAGTTACATAACTTCCAAAAGTTGCATAACTTCTTTGAAAATTCAGGGGGGTTTTGAGAAATCCCCCATAGTTTAGTGGGGTTGTCGAAATTATCGAAGTTGAAAATGGGTTATGTGCAAGCCAACTTTGGGAAGCCGTTATGTGAAGTTTACGCTTTAATTTGCAAGGTACACCCGTATCTGCTCCCAAGGGTTAAGAGACTGTAAAACAGTACAAGTATTTTCCGTTAAGGGGCTGTTTGTTTGGTTTCCTAAAAACCAAGAAAACCAAGAAATGGAAATGGAAAACATGAAAATCTCAAAAAATACTATTTCCTCCATTTCCATCCCTAAAACTCACCCACAACATCCAATAAAATATTATTTTCATCCAACAACTCATCCACATCATCTAATAAAATATTATTTTCATCTAACCACTCATCCACCACATCTAATAAAATATTATTTTCATCTAACAACTCATCCACCACATCTAATAAAATATTATTTTCATCCAAACATCACTCAACTCATCTCTTTTCATCATTTTAAATCACTCACATCATCCAATAAAATATTATAACAATTCACCTCATCTCATTAACATTTCATTTCTCCATTTTCATCCCAAAAAGTTATGAAAACACTTTTCTTAATCTTTCTTCACATCACCCAATAATACAATGACAACTCATCTCATCTCATTTCATTTCTTATTTTTAAGAATGAACCAAACAAAAGAAAACAACAAAACTACAGGAAATAAGTTTCTTATAATTTATTTCCTTATTTTTTTCGCCAACCAAACAACATCAAAACTAGTTTTCTTAAAAAATCACTCACATCATCCAATAATAATTTGACAACTAACATTATTTCATCTCCATTTTTTTGATTTCCTTCTTTTTTTAGCCAACCAAACACTCCCAAACCAATTCTTCATTTTAATAGTTTTCCATTTCTTTGATTTCCCTCTTTTTTTAGTAAAACAAACAGCCCCTAAATATATGTCCTTTGATGAAGGGCTGTTCCATGAGTGGACACATGGGTATTGTTTTTGGGCACATTATCTTTTAATTTGCAAGGTCTAGCAGTATCCCCTTTCAAGGTTCTAAGGGATTCATTGATATAAGAAAGTTGCGGAGGTTGCTGTGTATCTACGAAGTCCAACATGGTAAGATCCAGACGACAGAACCTTGATGATGAGTTAGTAGGGGGGGTGGTGATGTCCGTGAGGAGTTAATGAAAGGCTTCCGCAAAAGAATCCAGCCTAAATAATTGGAAAGCCTTTTACGGTTCTGATGATCGGGAGGCCTACCTCGCGAGCAAACATATTTCATGTCAGTGCCGGAAATTGGGCCCTACCCAAAGCCGCTACAAGAGATATCGTTGCGTAAATTTGTACGTAGGCTGAGTTCACATAACCTCTTTACATTGAGGATGAAGCAAGCTCATGCCAGACTCTCGACAGACCTCGTCGGGATGGCACGGTGCAGTATTCGCACAAGGTCGATCCTGTCGGTCTGTGTTTTCGGCATAGGCGTCAACTACACTGTGGGTTGATCTGCAGGGAATATCGTGTTTGGACCGATTGGATGGGAGGACTTGGCGTCAGATGATATATGCCTTGAGCTTATATTTGAGTAAATGCTGAACTTGGCCACACAAAAGGACTCTGAAACTGAAAACGTCTGTGGTCTGGGCTGGGCTCGCATGCGGTTAACCAAATACCAAAACCCAGACACAACAAAATCCCTATCCTCTTCCCTCTCTCTCTCGCTCTCCCCGCTCCTCTCTCTCTCTCTCTCTCTCTCTCTCTAGAGCATCATCATCATCATCGTCATCAGACCCTCAACGATGACCCAAACCCAATGGCCCTCGTCCGAAGAACAAAACCCTAACCCTAACCCTAACCCTAATCCTCCCTCCTCCTCTCCCCCGAAACCATCGCCCATCAGAGATCAAGGATCCTGCCTCAGGCCGCCCGAAACGCCGCCAAAAGATCGCAGCTCTCCCCGATACCAAAGTGCTCGCCGCGCCGGCGCGCCGATCAGGGTCATCCCCGCCGCCTCTCCCGCCGCCGGCGAGTCGGACGGCCGGCTCTCCTCCTCCTCCGCCACCGACCCCCCGCCATCGCGGCGTCATGACGCCACCCGAACCCCACCAGTTCCACTCCTTCTCCCCTTACAAACCCTAACCCGCTCCATCATCAACCAGCAGCTTCGCCTTCAAGGCCGCCGCACCACCCTACTCCCGCTTCGTCACCCTCTGCGGCGGCGCACGAGCATCGATCCGTCACCCCCGCCGCGTCCTCTCCCCTCCCCGCGACCTCGCGCCACATTGGAATCTCGTCTCGGAAAGCCAATTACCTCCGAGATCTTGCGAAGAAGTTTCACACTGGGGTTTTATCTAATGATTTGATATTGAATATGGATGATAAGTCGGTGATATCCATGTTGACAATGGTGGAGGGGATTGGGGCGTGGTCGGTGCACATGTTCTTGATATTCTCGCTTCATCGGCCGGACGTGTTGCCGGTGGGGGACGGGGGAGTGCAGATGCTGTATGGGTTGGAGGAGGTGCCCAGGCCGTCGCAGATGGAGAAGATTTGTGAGCGGTGGAGGCCGTATCGGTCGGTGGGGAGTTGGTATATGTGGAGGCTGAGCGAGGGGAAGGCGGTGAGCGGAGGGAATAATGGAGGAGGAGCGGTTTCCGGAGTAGGAGAGATTGGGCATCATCAGGCTTTGCTTCTGGATAATGTTCAGGTCTTTTTCAAGCTCTTTCTTTCTTCATATGTTGACCGAAGATTGTGTCCTTGCTTGTGTTATGCTGTGCTTTTCCTATGCAATTGAGTTTATGGATTGATAAGAATGGATTTTTGGGTAGTTGTGGAAGAAATGTGAGTGTTGTTCACTCTTGAGGGAGAATATATTAGAGCCTAAACCTTAGTTAAATTGTTGTAATGCCTGATGTTTTTCTTTCTTGTACGAAATTGATTGGGTGATTATCGATGAACTAGGAAATTAGGAATTGGGAACAGTATCATGTAGGTATTCATCAAATCTTTACGTTGACCAATATTGGATCTTTGTCTACGTTTCCTTGTTTTCTTGATGGCAATGGGCTTTTGGTAGTAATGGAAGGAATATGGTAACTATGTTCTCTTATGTGGGGAGAAATAGAATATTGTAGATTAATCACTAGGTTTGTTTGTATGCCATCAAGTTGTTTGGATTATTTATGAAACTATGTTGTAGGTTTTCTTTTGGATCATGAGACCATGATGGTGTTATTGTTTTACTCACCCATACTTTGAGTAGTGTGGTTCTAAGAGTGGGTGTTACTAGAGATGATGTCTAGTGTTGTGCTAAAGCATCCAACGCATGATTGTTGAAAAGGTTCGGGGCTTGACGATATATTATAGAATCTAGATGAATATGCTTAGGGATGGAGATGAGCTTAATTTGACATAAACTTAGTTGCCAGAACCTTTAGGAATTTCTTTCTCATGCATCAAAACTAATACCGTCAAATGACTAATACCTAGATTAAAAAAAAATCTCTAATTGTCCAGGATAGGTTTGGCTCAAACCTAAGGTCTGTAAGTTATTTGTTGCAAAATATGTGATATTTTAATCTCACATCGTGTCTACTCTTATAGGAAAAAAAATCGTGAAGTTGACATTTAAAGCACCATTGAAGTGCTCATACTAATAGGAATCACAAAGATATCAATAAAATAGCCCCAATCTTGTTAGTGTCTATCATATAAGAATTTTTGTATAACGTATGAAAAGTAATAAAAAAAATCTAGCATAACAAATAGTCAAGGAAATTATCTATTATATTAACTAGTTTCACACCAGTGCGATGCACAAACTTCTTTAGTATTAGGCTTGTAATATTCCAAAAAAGTTTGATATCGTAATTGTTCAGAAACTTTTAACAAAGCCAAATAAGATAATTTATCATTTTGTATACATTGTGTAAGTCAGAAAGGATGTTACTTAAACTGATACAGGTTTCATTTGCTAGTGGTCAATTTGAAAACTTATACTCCCAATTATTTAAGTATATGTATTTATATCTTTATAATCAAATAGTCGACTGCCTCAAATTTATATGTTTAATATTATAACATGGTGCAAAACCAAATCATGAGTACGCAATATCAAGTTTTCGTTCACTCAAATGATATATCTAGCACGTAGAACTACCTATCAAATATACAGATGAAGCATACAGATGCATAAGAAATAAGTTCATTGATAACAAATACCTGCCATAATCACATTAAGTATATAGATTTGTAAATGTAAAATTACTCAAAGATATAATTAAGCCGTACGAACTTTTAATTAATAGTTTCTTTTAGAGTGACACTACTAGAACTGGGAACTGAAATCAACTAACTCAATAGAGCTCCCCTATCGTATATAAGAACATTTGAAATGATCCAGTCATCATTCAGAATAATGCCATGAGGTAAATAGAATGAATTAAGTTAGACTGACATTTCATCAACCATATCCTCCCGGCATTAGCTTGAAAAGGTTGCTCTTGTTTGTAATTTTTTAGACTTGGTTAGGATTCATTCAATAACTAGCCACCTAACTCGAATAAATCCAAGTCACCATGTCTGTCTTCACACACACATCTTCTTTTTAGTCTACTGGAAGTCGGCCTAAATATGACAATTGTTTAGATTAGAAATGTCAACTTTAGAAAAATTGTAAAAGCTAGCACTAAGTATCTAACCTAAAAGAAATATAACTCTTAACAAATGATGTTAAGGAAAAAATATATAAGTTAAAGAAATATAAACTCTTAACAACTAATGCTTGAAAATCAAAATCAAAGTTAACCATATGAACTAATGTAGATCAAAATAATGACTAATATCTATAAAAATATCTACAAATTCAAGTCTCAATCATATGTTAGTAGTACACAACTAATTTATGATCTGAAAATATGAGAATAAATTTTGTGAACAAGCATTAGTTATTATACCAGCCTTGACTTGTTTCTAGAGTTTATTAAAGTGAAAACCAAAGATAAGTAATTTACTAATTACTTTCTGGAATTTATTAAAATGAGAATTTGGAAAATGGAACTGATACAAAAACTTTAAGCTTAAATATATTCCACATTAGCTTTTGGGGGGCTAATAGTTTAGTGCAACGGGAAAGCATTAGCGAAGGATATAATGCAAATTCATTCTTTTTTGTTTTTTATTGTCTGATAGTTTAAAAGCATGTTTAGTAAATAAACCTTATAAAAGGAAAGGTGTAACTCTTTTACTAGATCAAAATTATTTTTCAAAAAGAAAATGAAAATCATATATTGTAAAGAGAAGGAAATCATCTTGTCCTTGTCTTATGACTATTTTAAGGGTCTATAAAGAGCATACATTAGAATATAATTTTAGCAAAATTTTCTAGGAAATTTACAGTGTTTTTGCGTACATATTCCAAAAAAAAGCTCTCAAATATTTAAGCCTACAAAAAGTTGCATTATTTAATGAAAACAAAGAAGATGACAAAAACTGCATAAATTCAAATCATATTGATGATAATATACTTAGCTTAAATTGAATAAATATAGAAAATAATCCCAACCTATAGATTGAAATTCATGAATTACATGAATTCCAGAATTATGATAATATACTGGAGTTGCAATTTAATAATAAATCATACGAAAAATCATCATTCCAAGACTAACACATATATATCTAATTAAGTATAAAGTGAAGAAAAATATTGTTTAAAAAATACATTCAACTAGGATAATATACTGCCAACTGCCAACTGGCAAGTGCTCAACGTAACACCTAATGCTGATAGGGTTATATTTATCACTTGATAAGTCACAATTTGCTTTGTCATAATTGTTGTGATAACCTCCATCTCCATGCTTGTAAATGATGAGCATCCAATATATCACAAAACGCTTGCTAAGATTTAGAACTTCATTTTTTCACATGATTACTCAATATCAGGTTTTATTGATTTCATCATAATATGTATGTCAACTATGATAAAACAATAATAATTTCCTCCTATCTTATACTAAAAGTTTTTCGCTAAAATAGGAGATCAACCAGAGAACATATTATGTCGTTGAAATTGTTGAAAGAAGAAACTTGTTTTGAGTAAAAAATCATGAGTTGTTGAGTGCAAATAAGATTTTATTCTAAATATTATTTGGTAGATATGGAGAACATGATCGATTTGGTGATTCTGATTCTTGAAGAATATTGTTGTGCATGTGTCAACTTAAGTGAATAGTTCACCAGAGCAATTTTGAAGATAAGAGAACTCATGTTAATTGAGGGTGGAAAATAGAAATGAGAAAGGAAAATTAGTGCAACTATAATCTGAAAAGAAGTAAATTCTTGGCTTAGCTAAGTTTACATAAGTTACAAAGTTCATAAATTTACATGAGTTACAAAGTTTATAAATTACATAAGTTCTAGAAGTATTATTGCCAATCAAAATGTATAATATTTTGAAGCTAAAATTGAATAATAACTAATACAATATGGAAAGTCATCATTCCAAGATTAAGGATGCACCCCTGTTTTAAATTATTCAGTTCACAAACAATAATAGGCTTGAAATAGATAAAATTCATAAATCAATTAATTAATAATATAACTGACCGAGCTTAAATCAAGGAAAGGATGCTACAATCAACTTAGAGCTAAAGTTTTGGGGGCGGGGGTGGGGGCTTTAACTTTTTGTGACAAATAATTAGGCTCGGAGTTCTCTCAATTGAGGAGGGCTCTGATTAGATTGTTAAGATTCTTTTGATAAAAAATATAAACATAGAATTAGATTAAATAGTCAACCCTAAAACAATAAAAAAGAAGTTGTTATTCTCAACTTAGTCTCTTATAATGTTGCATAGAACACGGAGGATAGTGGCATTAACATCCTAGTTCTTGACGGATGAGGCGTCGAGACAAAGACGATGGACGGAGACAGCAACGAAGATGTGTCATTTGACTGGACGAAGTTAATGCCAAGAGATGAGAGAATAGTGCAGAGCTGGAGTGGAGGAGAAAGGCGATGACAGTGATGGTGAAGAAATATTATTGCTTTGAGAAGAATTTGAATGTAGAATTAAAATTTAGAGAGGGAGACTAATCAGAGAGAAGGTGATATCACACTTTGGGAATGATATAATGTTAAAAAGCTAGTTGATCAGGGTGTCGAGAGAGAATAGTTTTCTCTTTTGAAAATTGGAAGGGCAGTCCATTGCCCGAGAAAAGGGGAAATGTTGTGCAAAGAAGATTTTGATAGCACATCGGAAAGGGGAGAGAATAGTCTGGGGGGGGAGAAAATTGTTTTTTGATTTTTTTTATCTTGGGAATTAGTTTATATATTATCAAAATTGTTTACTTAGAAAAGTTATTAATTAATAAAAAATGACACGTCTCCAGTTTAAGAAAATGATGCTAAGTGTCGGCTACAAGTGGAAGAATCTTGAGGTTAGTATATAGATTGAAAGATTGGGTTCTTTTCAAGTCTCATGGAATGAATCTATGAAGAAAAAGTAATGAGGATAAAACTAGAAAACATATTTCGAAGGAAAAAGTGTTAAATGTCAGCACATGTTTTATATTCACTCTCTAATACGAATTTCACTACCATTTAAAATTCTGAATGGTTACTGCTTGATATATTACATAGGGTAGATGAACACTTAAACTTTAATGATAATATGAATGTTTACTTCATAATAGAATCCATGCTACATAGAAATATTTATTATATATTTTATGTAGACTATAAACAACAAAAATAATAGTAACTTCTACTACATGTATTTTTCCTTCAAGATTTCTCACTAGAAAGCACAAATGTTTGTTGAAGTAAACTAGGCCCCTTTAACCGTTTGATTATCAATTTTGAGATAGCCTTGCGTTTTTCCCAACATTCCCAATGCATGCCAGTTGATTAATGGGGAGATAGTAGGTTAATAAAAAGAGATGAAAAAAGTTTTAAGGTCTCTGAGATGAAACGAAGTCTGTATCGTGATGCTATGCTCATTTATCTGATGCAAGAAAATTCTTCCCTAGTAGCGATATTTCTTCTAGACATATGGCGAAAAGGAAAGAAGTAAAAGCAAATGCATATCTTGCATATACCTAAAAGAAGTAAAAATCTACAATACTGCAAAGGCTACATCAAACAGCATAACTTATTTACTTGGTTTATTTATGTTATCCTCTTATTTGTTTGCTTGATGTTACTACATTCCTTTGCTACTATGTCTGTTTCATCAGCTTATAATTCTTGTATAACCATTTTTTTTAATTTTCCCTACTAGTCTCTGCTGCACGTGATGCATGCATGACACATTACACATTTGTCCGTAAAAAAGTTACTAATATAAATCAGTGTTTAAAAATTTGAGCATACTCATGTACTATATTTCTTCAACTTTCATAAAATTGAAATGTTTTAATAAACTCATATCAAGCATTAGTAATCTTTAACCGTATACTATTTCAATAATATATTCACGAAGTTAAGTACACAGTTTAATGAATTATTTTCAAATTAAATAAGATTAAATCAATGAAAAGTCATAAATGAACTAAATAGTGTAGATTGAATTTAAAATAATACCAATTGTCTTAGATCTCATTGTACCATTCGATGCCATCGTCAATATACAATCAACAAATTCTTTATTAGATCACTACATCTCGATTTATCTTTCCTTATCCCTCGTATAATGTCAAACCACGTCACAACACATAACATATGAAATAGAAAGTAGTAATTACCTATCAGATTGAGATAGGAGAAAGAGCCGATTTTAATCAATTAGCATTAGCATAAAGGATTGTTTTTCTCTTTCTTGGGATTTTTAGTTAGATTTTTAACATGGTGGAATTGGAGAGGAGAGAGAAAGAGAGTGTGAGGAGAGAGAATGGAAGCGGGTTAGAGAGTGGAAGATTGTGGTTTTTTATTTCCTCAATCTAACCATTTCACATGTATTGATAGTGGGATATTGGTTTTTTGCATTTCCTAATTTTCCCCTTTAATGAGTTCAAATTTAACAGTAGATTGTAAAGGGACTTCTTGGGATTTTTTGAAATCTTGAGACACATAAGGATATAACCAAAAGTGTGGCTTTTTTTAAATATTAGTAATAGATTTACTCTGAAACATAACATGTACAGGCTTCTCAGTCTTTGCTATCTTTATGAGCCCAAGTGTCTAATGATTCACCACGACCCATTGATTTTAGGAAGCAGTATGTTATCGCTGTATATATTATATTTGATCATTAAAGGGAAAAAAACATGATACCTCACTGAAAATTTTATTTTGGCACCACTGTAGCCTTTGAAAATTACGCATCAAGTGGATATCTCCATGTTATAGTTTAGTGTAAGACACCTTGATGACCCTTATTAAGAACCTGACTTGTATGTTTTATAAGCATCTTGATTTTTGTATTTTTTTTCCTGACATTGTTCCATTTCCTCTTACATGAAGGCTCTGTTTGGCAAAACTAGTTGAAAGCTGCGAGATTATAGCTGAAAACTGTTAAGCTAACTGAAAACTGTGAAATTGTAACTGAAAGCTGATAGCTGTGTACCTAGCTGATTGACTAGAGCTGTTTGGCAAAAGTAGCTGTGCAACTAGCTTAAATTTGTTAAATGAGGGATATGCAATATTATTGATATAAAATTAGACTTATTAGGGGCAAAAACGAAAGAAAAAAATTGGCAGTTCCTTTCCAAAGACAAACACTACTTGAGGTAGCTTTCCAAAATCTACTTGCAAAAGACACAATCTCCAAAATAATCTCCTCCTATTTTTGATCACCAAACAGCTCTACTAGCTTATTGACCAAGTCAACAAGACACAATCTCTTAGATAAGACACAATCTCTTGTTGCCAAACAGTGCCGAAAACTTGGTTTCCATCTAATAACCCCCTTATTGCCTTCTCAGCCTACCTGATATATCATGTTTTTAATCTTTTTTTTATCTTTTTATGTTCTGATGAGCTACTTGACCATGGACACATAGTATCTTGCTTCGAAGTTTGATATATCACTTATAAATAAAAATAAGCAATATGAAAACCAACACCCAGTACTTTATGGATGCTTGTCATAATCTCAAAGTGGGTGTTGAACCAGTATATTCCTTTCATTTTTAACCATTTAGCAAGCATCATTATCCAGCCTGGACTTAGCTCTGCTGAATCTGTTTCCATCTCATTTTTTAATCTTTTTGTTAATAACGTGCCTTTTAAAAAAAATTATGAACTGTTTTATGTTGGGATTGATTGTTTAATACATGCAAGTTTCTTTTTGATTGTTCCCTACTAAGATGCATGGTGGTTTTGAGTTTCTAGGGGTATCGCCTTCGGAGACATTGACCGTGCAAAAGTGGGGCATTTAGTAGAGATTAAGATTGGAGGATTGGAAACATAATGATGAATACTAGATCACACTGTGCAGTAAGAGTATAATGGTAATATCACAACTGAATCCTGGGGAAATTGAAGAAGGTCGAATATACTGAGGGCAAGTTTTGACTTTTTTTTCTCTTTTCCCTTTTTTTGGCTGGAGATAGTTGCAATGACAATTTGGAAGCTGGATGATATGCTCTGTTGAGTTTGGTGTAGATGAAGACTGAATAATGGGAGTTGACAGTTTTCATTGGGGTCCAAATTTTGTCAGGTTACTATTATTATATCTAGTAGTTTAGTTATTAGGTTATTTTTATTACTTTACTGAAGCATAGGCCTGAAAGCTAAGGGTGACTAGGAGCGTCAACACAAAAAACCAACAAAATAATGAAGATAAACTGACAGAAAGCAATAGCTTCATCGAACATCTAAGGGGAGGTAACAAAATGATGAGGATAAACTGACAGAAACCAATAGCTTCATGGAATGACCAAGGGGAAGTTAAATTTGGGATAGGAGGTCCAGGATATTAAAGCACAGAAACATCATCCTGACAGGCCCCANACATGATATGGCAAGGATTCAAGTCTTGACAAAAGATTCAGTCATTCGTAACTTGTTCATTAGCATCATCTAGCAACCAGTTGGTATCAGAGTCATGGTTGTGCATATGTAATGGTATTGAGACTAAAACATTAGATACTAATTCCTATTTCATAGTCCCTACTTGAATTTTTTATCTCATTTATGCATTATTATGGTGATGCTCCAAATTGGTGACCCAGAAATTGAGGGAGAGCAGTACTAATTGATTCTGTGGATATTGCAGTGACTTATTTGATGATCTATTTTGATGTATTTTCTCTAGTATTTAGGTTTTCCTTATCATACTTAGTTATATTGATCTAGACTCGTACTGTTGGCTTTTAAGTTTAGATAATGTAGTTCGGATATTCAATTATCATATTCGTCAGTAAAAAGTGGTTGCTTTCAATTTTTATAGTAGTTATTGCATGAATATTACATGACCATACTTCTATTATAGTGTTCTTTAATTTAATATAGTTTATATATGTATACACACATATAATCAATATGAACCTGCTATTTTGTTGCCGTGGTGGTGGTGGAATTATGGGCACAGTGAACAGAAAGTATTCTGTGAAATTCGGAATTGTCATAACAGTTGTTGCTTATTATTAACCATAGGAATGCATCTCTATTAGATAAATGTTTGCGTAAATGTGATATTTTTCAAATATCTATGATGTAACATCATTATATCCATGCTTACAGTTAATTTAAAATTTTAAAAGAAGAAGAAGAAAAATATCTATGCTTTATGTCTAATCTTGATTTTACATGCTTACAGTTGTTAAGTCTAATCTTGATTTTACATGCATATCTTTTTGTTCGGATATGCTTTAGAGAAACATCATTATATCCATGCTTACAGTTAATTTAAAATTTTAAAAGAAGAAGAAAAATATCTATGCTCACACTGAATTTAAAAGAAGGGGGAAAGCATCATTATATCCATCACATCTTT